GCGGGCGGTGTCGAGCTTGGACTGCTCGAGGCGCGACTTCGCCTCGGCCTGAGGGGCGGCGGGAAGGCTGGTGGTGAGCTGCAGGGCGGGCGGAAGAGCTGCGAGTGTGCGTGTTCGTGTGTATGTGAGGGAGGCGGCAGAGTGACGAGGGAAGTAAGGGAGAGGCCCACCTTCTCCTCCGCCGCACGCTGCTTGGCCGCCTCCGCCTCGGTCTTCTGCTGAGCCGCAGCCGCTGCCCGCGCCTCGGCAGCCTCCTTGCGAGCAGCTTCCTCCGCCGCCTTCTTGGACTCCGCCTCGACCCGCTTCTGCGCGTCTGCGGCCGCCCGCGCCTCGGCCGCCGCCGCCGCCTCCGCCTTCTTGCTCGCGGCGGCGGCGGCCTTTGACTCGTCAGCGTCGCGCCGGGCAGCCTCGCGCGCCGCAGCCTGCGCCGCCTTCGTCTCCTCGGACGCCTGGCAGAACGAAGAGGCGCAGAGTCAAGCCGAATGGGCAGAGGGAGGGAGAGGCGGTGCGTTGCAAGCACACCTGCCGCGCCGCCGCAGCCGCCTCCGCCCGGGCCTGCTCGGATGCCAGGCGAGCCGCCTTCTCCTCCGCACTCTTCTGCGCGCGCGCCTCGGCAGCGGCCGCCCTCGCCTCCGCCGCCTCCCGTGCCGCAGCCTCCTTCTTGGCCACCTCGGCCGCCCGCGCCTCTGCCGCCGCAGCAGCGCGCCGCTGCGACGGCGTCTGCGTCGCCTCCGCCGCCGCCTCGGCGCGCGCGGCTGCCTCTTGCGCCGCCGCCTCGAGCCGGGCACGCACCGCCGCCTCGTCCAGCGCCGCCGCGTCCGGCTTCGCGCCGCGCTTGACGCCGCCCGTCCGGGCAGGCGCAGAGGCGCGGCGGGCGGCGTCCGCCTCGGCACGGGCCTTTGCCGCTTCCTCCCGCTTCGCCGCCGCAGCAGCGCGCTCCGCCGAGCGCGCCTCGTCCGCCGCCGCCCGGGCCGCCCGCTCCTCCGGCGCCCGGGCCACCTTGGCCTCGTCAGACGCGCGGCGAGCCTCCCCCTCCGCCGCCTTCTTGGACTCCGCCTCGACCCGCTTCTGCGCGTCTGCGGGCCGCCGCGCCTCGGCCGGCGCCTTCCG